GTGCCTGTAATCCCAGATATTTGGGAGGCTGAGGCAGGAAAATTGCTTGAACCCGGGAGGCAGAGGTTGCAGTGGGTCGAGATCACTGTCACTGCACTCCAGCCTGGGCGACAGAGCAAGACTCCATCTCAAAAAATAGAATAAAATAAGCAAACAGAGGGGAGCAGAAAGGGTCCTGTGAAAACTCAGTTAAATAGCACAGCTCTAGATACTTGATTATTTTTTTAAGGAAGAAAAAGAATGAGACACTGTCCTGTAAAATCATCAAAGCCCTGGCTTTCCCTGGAAATACGGCACAAGCAGGCCTAACCGTGCTGAGTATTGTTTCTGAGGACTGCCTCCGAGTTCATGTCTCTAAGCATTTCATTGAATACAACTATTTCTTTGAAAAGCAACAAGCAAACATGTTAATCGTACAGCAAAATCATGGCATCGTGCGACAAAAAAGGAATGACAGAAGGAGCATCAAAGAGCATTGCTTGTACACCAAACATGAAAGCCAAATTTATTTAATTCAGTTTTTATTTATTTTCTAAACTGAGCTGAGTAATCAGGGAATAGAATGCGGTTCATTTAAAACTTTCATTATTTCAAATATGTTGAACCACTGCCAATCACTCCTAGATCAACAGGAAACTTGTTACCTGATGAGTTGCCTGGTTTTTTTTGTTTTGTTTTGTTTTGCTTTTTCCATCCCCATGATTGTTCCAACTGAAGGAGAAAAGATGTAATAAACCTTTACCAGGCACCCTCTGCGTCCAGGCACTCTACTCGGCCCTGGGGGTGCAGAGCAGACAACCCTGGCGTTGGGCATGAAAAACACTGTGCACCGAGAAGCCCAGCCCCTGGAATCCAGCGTGCTGTGCTACATTCCAGCTCTGCCTCTTCTTAACTGGGCCGCTTTTGACAAGTTGCTAAGCCTCTCTGATTCTTGGTTACCTCAACTTTAAAACAAGGACAATACCCACTTCATCAGATGGTCGTGAATCACAGAAATAAATGTAATGATGCTCCTAAGGGGTTTAGCACCAAGCTGGGCCCAAGGAAGCATTCTGTGTGTCTAATGACCAACTTTTACCTGTCCTGACACCAAGGAGCTTAGAGTTTGGTGGAGATGGCAGAGCCATCAGGGCCCGTGGTAGGCTCCCAAAAGCATTTTTACCAGTGCATGTGCCTCGCACAGACCTACTGAGGGTGATTAATTCTACTGGGAAAGTCACACCGGGTGAACGAGAAGAGACGTATGCGTGGGGTCTTGAAACACAGTAGAAGTTTGCCAGGTGGAAGCATAAATGACTCTTTAAACGAAAGGCTGGTGTTTTCAAAGCAGTTCATTCTCGTGAGTAATTCATTGCTTCTGTTTTCACAAAATAGTGAAAGGATCATTGCAGCAGCAAGGGCGTGTGGAAGCCCGCGTTCGCCTCATCCGTTCTCCCCATCTGTCCCCTGTCACAGTTGCAGCTTCAAAGCATTGTTCCCCGAGGCTCTGCTGAGTCGGACGTTTCTGAAACATTCCGGGGGACAGTGTGAGTCACACCAGGGAGGACATACGAGGCCATGACCCCAGCAAGCCGCTAACATACCCACAGTCTGACTCTGCAACAGCTCCCCCGCAAGTGCCCTGAACGAGACCAAGCCCTTTGTGTCAGCCTCAGTTTGCCCTCACAGCTACCCCACAATACCACTGGGACTGTCCCCAAGTCACAGAGGAGGAAGCGGAAACACAGAGAAGTAGCTTGCTAAGCTCAAAGTTAGAACCCAGGTCCTTTCCTCTCCAAAGTCCATGACTGTAACGGCCATGTGATGATGGCGATGTGAACGGCTGGGCAGAGGCAGCACAGAGGGTGACGGCAGGCCTTGGCACCAGAGAGCCAGCCTCCAAATCCCAAGCATGCCCCATACTAACCAATGACCTTGGCAAAGTTCACATATCTCTAGGCCTCTCAGTTCCTCATCTGTAAAAGGGGAGGAATAATATTATCAACCTCCCAGTGCTGGTGTGAGGGCTAAAAGCATAGATGCTGGAAGCTCCTGGAGCGGTGCCCAGCCGGTGCAATGTAAGGCTCCATGCTGCTGCAGCTGTGTCACTACTAATATGAAATGGAGGCTGCACCCCGAGGCTGTTTTAGGAAAGACCAGACCAGACGTCTTCCAGGAAGCATCAGCAGGAGCCTCTCCTGGCGTCCTTCTGCAGTTGGGGGATCTGGTACATCCACTTTGCAGGACAAAAACTTGATTTGATTTTTGGGTCAGTTCGCATGACCCCAACACAAAAAGGACTGATACCAAACCAGAGTGCCTCCGTGTGAATTAAATTTACAACAGCTCTGCATCGGAGCATCTGGCAATGCTGACTGGAAGCCCAAAGACCTCCAGGTGGTTGGTGCTGAGACTCCAGGAGACGCTAGGAGCACTCAGAGGTGCTCTGGATGGTGGCCAGGCGAGGGTGGTAGGTGAACTGCTGTCTGTCCTGGGGCGCCGTGAGGCTTGTGGTGACTGCACAGATGCCCATTCCCTTTGTCAGCCAGCAATTTCTGATTCCCTGGCTCCCCTTCTCAACAACCCAAGTTGACCATCCCTTCTTCAGTGACCACAGCCTCTCCCAGGTAGCAATCCCATTGCTGCCCCCATGATGACCTTTAAGTCATGGACAAGGGCAGTTCTTCTTCTCCTTGGCCACACAGGAGGCAGCCCCCTTGCTTCCACCTACATCTGAATAATCCCACCTACCACACTTCGATTCAATCTAAATGTATCCTCAGAGGCCACCTTTTCTCAGAATTCAGTATCTTTTTCAAAGTAAGATCCTTCAGATGAAACGTACCTGCTGACCACCCATCCTGAGTCACTAAGTTAGCTGGGAAGCAGTTTTGAGTGTGGGTTCAGGATCGCAGCTCCGAGGTCAGACCACCTGGGCCCACATCCTGACTCTATTACTTGAGTAGCTGTTGGTTTGTGTCTCAGAGTCCTCATCTGTAAGTGGGGATATTATACCTACTATAATAAATCAGTAATGCCACGGTAACAAATTATTGCAGACATGGAGGCTAGAAATTTATTCTCCCACAGTTCTGGAGGCCAGAAGTCCAAAATCAGTCTCACTGAGTCAAAACCAAGGTGTTGGTAGGGCCATGCTCCATCTGGAGGTCTAGGGGAGGATCCTTCCTGCCACTCCCCACTTCTGGTGGCTGCAGCATTCCTTGGTTTGTGGCCGCATCACTCCAATCTCTGCCTCCGCAGTCTTCTCCTTTTCTGTGTCTCACATCTCCCTCTGCCTCCCCCTGAGGACACTTGTGATTGCACTTAGCACCCCCCAAACACCCCCAGAGAACCCAAAACAATCTCATCTCAAAATCCTTAGCTCTGCAAAGTCTTTGCTCTGTAAGGTAACATTCCCAAGTTCCAGGATTAGGAGGTAGATATCTTTTTCCCTGTGAAGAGTTGAGAGTCATTTGCTCCAAGCCCTTCAGTTGGAGATTTTCAATCCTGTTGGTTAAATCAGGTTTTAAACATCCTTAGACCCAAACCTGGCCATACAAGGCAGAGAAAATAAACCTCATGCATCTTTACCAAACCAAGGAGCTATCAGTTCCCATGTCTCTTCATGGGAATATACTTCAAAGATCAGTAGGAAATGGCAGAAAAGCACCAACAGCATCTTTCTGGCTTAGGTCTGCAAGTGGCACGTTATGCAAGCCACCCAATTCAAAGAAAGCTGAATCATGCCCAATTTGAGTCTCCCTGATAGATAAGACTATTATTTCTTACTCTGTGCATCTCTGTATTGTTTAAACTTCAAAAGAGCAACCTCAAAACAAGTAACATTTTTAAATCTTGGATGGTTTCCCATTATCCAAAGTCCAAACCCCTTAAAACAGTAGTTCACGCTCTCTACAATCTTGTCTAATCTGTTTCTCAAAACTCATTAACTTTTAGTTCCCTTAAAGAAGCTGTTTCAAACACAACCCTCTACTTTCTAGTCCCTAAATATTCATTTACCCAGCAAATATTTATTGAGTGTCGCGTATGTGCTAAGCAGTGTTCAAGCAGCTGGTGTCACAGCAGTGAACAAATTTCTTGCCCTCATGTAACCTACATCGTAATGAATGTGTCTGTTCTATCTGAATATAGTTTGGCTGTGTCCCCACCCAAATCTCATCTTGCATTCCCACGTATTATGAGAGGGACCCTGTGGGAGGTAATCGAATGGTAGGGGCAGGTCTTTCCCATGCTGTTCTCATGATAGTGAATAAGTCCCAGGAGATGTGATGGTTTTATAAGGGGAAACGCATTTTGCTTGGTTTCATTCTCTCTCGTCTGCCACCATGTAAGACGTGCCTTTCACCTTCCACTATGATTGTAAGGCCTCCTCAGCCACATGGAACTGTGAGTCTATTAAAACTCTTTCTCTTGTAAATCACCCAGTCTTTAGTATGTCTTTATCGCAGTGTGAAGATGGACTGATACAATTTGTTAACTCATATTCTCTTTTCCTGGTTTTTCTGTCCTCTCCATCTCTGATGACATACTATCTATTCCTCCTGTCTTGGTTTGGATGCAGCATTCCCTGTGAGGTACCCAATATTGCCCTGGATCAGAGGTAGTGAGTTCTTCCTCCAAGCATTGATGTGCCTTGCTTGTACCTTCACAACAGCAATTCTCCCACTAGTCCACAGACAAGATGTATCCCAGGAGTGAAAGATACAAGACTGGACATGGACTCAGGATTTGGACTGTGAACTCTGCTTTGCCTCTGTGAGAGCTGGGCAGATGGCAACAGCATCTTCCTCCTAGGAGTGTCAAGAGGAATAAAGGAGGCACACACACAAAGTGCTTAACACAAAGCAAACCCAGAGTCAGTGGCCTCATGACTTTGTGAATGAGCAACTGTAACAGAAATGATGGTTTTGGGTTCATAGGAGCTCATGCCCTGCACTCTGTAAATGTTTCTTGAATCTACTTTGAATGCAGAGTGTGACATTGTTGGGATTTGTTTTCAGGTATTCTGTTTACAAGGACCCAGCAGGTTGGCTGAATATTAACCCCATCAATGGGACTGTTGACACCACAGCTGTGCTGGACCGTGAGTCCCCATTTGTCGACAACAGCGTGTACACTGCTCTCTTCCTGGCAATTGACAGTGGTGAGTACTTGACAAAGACCATCAAGAGTATACTTTTCTACTACAAATATACTTTTACCTTTTTAAATATCTTCTGATACACCCAGGGGTGTTCTTGGGAAGAATATAAGTGTGTGGGAACAGCGAAGTAAATGTTTAAATATACACATATTGAGTTCAGTAATATCTCCACGTCCCAGAATCCTCAGATCTTTTTGGAAAGCAAGTAATGTCTGGTGAGAGGTCAGAGCAGTGAACTCACCCTGTCCCATCTTGGGCAAGCGTGGAGGTTAGAAAGCCACGCTGATGTGCTTTGTCTTGGTATCATGCTCTCATTTGCAAAGAGGCTCTTGGACTTAATGCAAGTTGAAAGGAAGTCCCAGAGGATATCACTGACCCTGGCAATTGAATTGTTCCCGTGGCTTTTATCCTATTATGATGCACTGCCAAGGAAAGGCAGCAGGTACAATTAGTTAGTGGCTGCACAACCACAAAGCAATTGCTGTTCGTTCAAAAGATGATAATGCACTATCCGTATGCCAGTCCCTGATTAGGTGCTGGGGGCACAGCAGTAAACAAAACAATAGCTGTCCTCATGGAGCTGACGTGCAGAAAGAAGGCAAAGTTCAAAGTGCCATGATTGTTCTTTGCTCTTTTGAGATCAGATTGCTGGGCAGAAGGGCAGAAGAAGGGCAACCTCTTCGGAGACTGCATGGTAATCTAGGCAAGATGGTGGCCTGGACCAGAGACTAGGAGGGGATGATAAAAAGAGAGGTCATATATATTTTGAATGCAGAGCTCACAGGATTTGCCATTAACTGAGATGAGGGCATTCCAGTTGGTCTGGGGACATGTTAAGCTACAATATGTATTGTGTCAATCACACAAGAAGTTTTGTTCTCCCTATTATTCCTAAAAGCCAGCTGTTTATGGCTAAAGACTCATTTTTCAGTCCTTCCATATCAAGATGAATATTTATAGGTGCCCATTGTTATACTCAACAAGGGTGAACTAAGAATTCTCAGTCCTGGTCCTCATCTGCCGGCTACTCACACAAACCATTAGGAGACAAGTCTAAGAAGTGAGCAATCCATGTGGCATACAATAGGTGGAGAGTGCTTCACAATAAAGGCAAGCCTTGAGCTTAGCCTTGAAAAATGGGTAGGATTTGGATGAGTGTCATTACCCAGGAATCTAAGACAGAGGAATCAAAACTAGAAGGCGGCACAGCACAGAGGTGAGAAAAGGAAAAAATAACTGTTGTGTCCGCTATAAGTGCATATGTAGGAATCTATTTGGATGTATGTGGAAAAGTCACATCTTCAAAGCCAGATGATTCATTTGATAGAACAGGCAACCAGAAGACCGTGTAACTTCTTGAGAAGGAAACTGACATGATGAAATATCAGGTAGACAATGTTCAGCAACTGAGAGCTGGACCAGATCTTGTGCTTGCTCCTGGAGACTCATGGATGAATAATACGTGGTCCTTGTGTTCAGAGGGCTCATGAGTTATTTGGAAGATTAGTCAAGTACACAGAAGATCACAGTAGAGTGTCCTAACTTTCTGATGGAGCTAAGCCGAGAGAAGCCCCTGTCCAGCCGTGGGGGTAGTCATGGAGAGCTGCCTGAGAGAGGGGACATCTCACCTGTGTGATGAAGGATATGTTGATTAAAGGTAGGGCATGCTAGTCCTGGTGTTAAGAGTTAGTTGGCAGCTTCTGATTGGTTAGCCTTAAATTTCATTTTTCTTTAATACAGGCATTTATAAGAAATAGCTCATGTTGGCCAGGCACAGTGGCTCATGCCTGTAGTCCCAGAATTTTGGGAGGCTGAGGTGGGTGAATCACAAGGTCAGGAGTTTGAGACCAGCCTGGCCAATATGGTGAAACCTCGTCTCTACTAAAAATACAAAAATTAGCTGGGTGTGGTGGCGCACCCCTGTAATCCCAGCTACTCGGGAGGCTAGACAGGAGAATCTCTTGAACCTGGGAGGCAGAGGTTGTAGTGAGCTGAGATTGTGCCACTGCACTCCAGCTGGGGCGACAGAGTGAGACTGTCTCAAAAAAAAAGAAAAGAAAAAAAAAAAAAAGAAATTGCTCATGTTCAGTTTTGCTTATGTTTGCAGATCAAGCAAGGTTAAGGTGACTTATGAAACCTAACTGGCTTTTTCTGCCCAGTGATTCTTCAGGCCTAATTTCCATTTTAATTTACTTTAACAATTGTTATGACTGAACTGTGTCCTCTCAATGTTGATATATTGGGGTCCTAATGCCTGGTTCCATAGCATGTACCTTATTTGGAAGCAGGCTTGTTGCAGATGTGGTTAGTTAAGATAAGGTCATGCTGGAGTAAGGTGGGCCCTGATCCAACATGATTGATGTCTTCATCAAAGGGGGAATTTGAACACAGGCATGCACACAGGGAGAACACCACATAAAATGAAGACGGAGATCAGGGTGATGCTTCTGCAAGTCAAGGAGTTCCAAAGATTCCCTGCAAACTTCCAGCAGCCGGGGGAGAGGCTGGGAGAAGAGCCTTCCTCACATCCCTCAGCAGGAACCAAACCTGCGGATGCCTCAGTCTTGGACTTCAGGCCTCCAGAACTGTAAGACAATAGATTTCTGCTGTGTAAGCCACTCCTTTGTGGCACTTTGTTATGGCAGCTCTAGCAAAGTAATGTAAGATTTAAAGGAGTCATTACCTATAAAGCATTTGGAACAATACCTTGCATGTAGCAAGGGCTCAGTAAAACTTAACTATTTTTTTTTAAAAGGTAAGGCATTCTAGAAGAATAAATATGTGAGAAGTTGGGAGGTCGGTCAGCATTAGTGGAAGCTAGCATGGCAGGTTCTTTGTGTGCAAAGATAAGGGCAGAGAAGTTTGTGGATACCGGACTGTTCTAAAGTTGGAACTGGGTCTTGTGCTCAATGCCCAGCACCTGCCATTGTGCCTGACTTAGAGCAGGCACTCACACGCCTGTAGAATAAATCATGAAATCAATCATGAGATGCTCCACACGCTATGCCAAGGACTTTGGCCTTGACAGTATCACTCACTTGCCCCCAGAATAAACATTGTGTTTCACAAAGATACATCCCAGCCAGGCACAGTGGCTCACACCTGCAATCTCAGCAATTTGGGAGGCTGAAGTGGGCAGATCGCTTGAGGCCAGGAGTTCAAGACCAGCCTGGCCAACGTGGCAAAACCCCATCTCTACTAAAAAAAAATATATACCTCCCACACACACACAAAAAAGAAAGATACATCCTATAGCAGCATAGAAAATGGATGCGATGATGGCAAGATGTGAGGAGGGAGGTATTAGGCAGCTGCAGCAGAAATACAGGTAAGAGAAGAGAGAAGACCAAGCCAAGGTAGTGAGGTTAGTTCGGGAAAAGTCAGCCTGCAGTGGGGAAATGTGTTAGAAGCCATAGCAGGTATCTTAGTTGATGGGGTCAGAGTCTGCACAAGCATAACATGAATGGACCAGAGAGGAAGAACCTAGATAACATCTGAAAGTAAGAAACAAATCTTTGTCGAGAGTTTATACTAAACATGAACTAGAGAAATGCAATATTCAGGTTTCTGGTCCAGAAATCAGGAATGATGATTTCAGCAACATAAACAGGGGATGAGTTTCAGAGGATTGGTCCTTCCTGTTTTGGGGGTGGGTGTTGAGATTATGTCCCAGAATAAGCTGGTAAGATAGAAATGGGATAAGGAGAGATTTTGCTTAGGGAGTTGCCCATACAAAAGAGATAGGACTTATGAGAACAGAAGAGCTTTCCAGAAGGAAGAGGTCTAGACAGAGTACTAAGTACATACTCTGGGATGAAAATAAGCCAAGAATGTTTAAGATGCTGTGTGAAATGAAAAGTATCCATTACTGGTCAGCTAAAGTAACAATGGCAGGGTTCTGTACTATGTAGAAGTATCTGCATATGTAGAGAAATTTCTCAGCAAAGAATGTCATGAAGTATGGATGAAATATAGCACAGTATGGCTGGCATTTCTTTGTGAAATTTTTCGTGCAATTATAAATCCAAAGAAACTAGAAATGCAGTATACTTGAATTGTTACCAGAAGCGAGAGCCTTCTTTACAGGTATGCAGTAATCAATTAAGTGACACTGTGTGTGTAAATACTTTGCCCCTGGTTATTAAGAAGAACAAAACCAAAATTTGCAGATTAGGAAACAGACATCGAATGTAGTTAACTTTCTAAAAGTCGTACCGTTGGGATAGCATTTTTCTACCTTTAGTTTCTTGCATTTTTAACATTCTTTAAAATTTCTGTGTGGAAGCAGCAATCTGGTCTAAACTTCTGCCATATCACTTACTAGCTATCTGATTTTGAAGAAATAATGTACAATGTAGTCAGGACCTAACGATACCTTATAGTGGTTTCTCATCTATGAGACTCATTGAGTCTCAGCTATGTTTTTTCAACATTCAGCATACACCTGTATGAATGGTCTGGCTGTGTAACTGTGAAAGCTTCTTACAGACTCTGAGTCTCGTTTTCTACATATACAAAATGAAGAAGATAATTCCTACTTATAACGTTGTTGTGAGAAATGAGTGAAGTCCTGTACCCTCTAGATTCTCCATCAAAAGCCATATTAAATGTTCACTACATATTAATCGCACCCCAGTGGGGGTTCCAGAAAGGAAAGAGTAGAGCCAGGAATGATCCTTCTATGACCCAAGAAAAATACAGCTTGAAATCTACTTGTTGTCTAACTCTGTTAACACTAATATCAGACAAGGAAATTTAAAATCTAGTGCCACAGATGTTTCCAGAGAGCTAAAATGTCCCCAAAGATGTAATGGTAAATAGAAACCAGGTTGACATTAATATACAAAACCATCGTTAGGAATAATAATCCTGAACAAGACCCAAAGGACTTACAGCAAAAAGAACATAAATTCAAAAAACCTTATAAATCAGAGCAACTTTGGTTTAAAAGCTCCTTTTTGCCTCATCAAAAACTTACCTCTAAGTATTATGTTTAACCA